CTCTTCCCTAGCTGACCCAGACTGAAGCCCAGATCCTCCTGATATGCATCGTCTTCAATCTGTAACAACATAAAATTAGATTTTTTTCTGTTGTTTAATACAAACAACAGAACTAAACATAATACCAATGAATTTGTGATTGGAACAACTTTCTGGGAGAAGTGCTGCGTTATCTGACAGAAATGCAGTGGCGGCAATATTTTTAGCCGTGACTGCATGTATATTTGATATGTGCATTTTTTTACTACTTTTGTGCACATTCTGCACAAAATCCCTTTCAGCATGAGATGTGATAGGACTAATCTGGGTTACAGGTAAACGGTAAAGATACCTGAATCATCACATGAGAATGGCACAATAAAATAATACATTAAATACAATAAAACATTGCAACAAACAAACAAAACTAAAGGGAGCAGAGCAAATATCTACTGACCTCTGCAAAAGTCATCCTGTTGGCGTGTTTTCGAATCTCAGTCAGCCCGAGACGCTCCTTCATCTTTCGATACCTTGGGAAAAAGAGAAAAGCAGCATTGTTGGTTATGCTATATATTAATAGTTGGTGAATAGTTTGTGGTGGTATTCTACACACAGCTATGCAACTTATGTAAGCCTCTTGTTATCTCCAACATCCTGCTCTGTCAGTGATATTGTTTTGCTTCCTCAGTTCTGGTGTTACACCATTTCATTTCATTTTGCTCTGGAAAAAAAAAAATGCTGGCCAGTTTGATCTCGGTCACCTTCTTTTAAATTCTTTCAAATAAAGTAAATCTAAACGTGCCATAAATCAAAAAATTTGTACTTTGAGTATTTCCACACTGCACTCCCCTAAATAACTGGCCTGTCCATCCATCCATGTCTCTCCATGCTTTAAATAGCTGGTACCTCCTTCCTCCTCTCTTCTTCCTTTGTGCGTCTAACGGGGCCGGCAGTGGTTTGACCTGCTTCACTGGTGGAGGCTCCTGCCATTTATCAAACTTCCTTTCTATCTCTTCTTTTAGATCATAGCCAACCTGCGCAAAAAAAGGTTAAAGCCACAAGATTCAGAACTTGATTAAGCTTTTTCACTATTGCTGTGTGCAAGGGCCAAATGTTAAAATATACTATTTAAAAATGATCTAGTGTCAGAGGTGTAATTCCAGCTATATGTAAAAATGTCTGAGGCTGTACTTGTAGAGCTGGATTGCATTTGACTGTAAGGTGTAAAATGTTGATCTTCCATAGATGTAAATGAGGTCAAGAAAAACTTTTATTAAAATATTATATGAAATGTAGCCCATGTATATATTGGATTTATTTGGCAACACTTCTCACCTTTCCATCCGAGCTCTCATGAAAACTGTCCACTCGCGCAGCCAGAGTGCATTTTGCAGCCACCAGACGAGCTGCTTTCCTCCTGAGATCCTGAAGACAAAAATGGCAGACAACTGTTAGCTAACAGAAACACTGCAATGCGGGGCTGAATACTATTAATATATTTACTGACAGGTGGGAGTGTCTGCACAACATCACAGTGGTAGATGAAGCCGGTGTGGGGTAGCAGGGAGGTGCTGCTGAAGCCCGACAGGGTTCTCCTCTGAGCTCCCAGCAGCATCAGGTTGCAAGCCGGCATCTTTGAGAGATTAGTGAGGCCGCCAGCAATACCTGAAGAGATGTGAGAAACCATGAAGAGGAAGAGGGTGTGGAAATAAGAGTGATGTCAAAAATGACTTTGCAAGGACCACCTACATTTGTAACTTCAATGTGTAGTCCTGAAGTAAGTGCACCAAAAATGTATCTCAATTCATCTCTCACCCATGATCTTTGCAGCTGTTGAGGCGCCGACAATGATGGACAGATTTGGAGCAATCAATGACATTCTGGACTCTACATATTCATATATCCTGTGTTTAGACTGGTTCAGCTCCAGGGCCATGTCACATGCCTCCTCCAGCTGCTTCAGTTCGTCCTCACTTAGCTGTGACCTAAAGCGATGGAAATGCACAAAATCAACTTTCACTGTACAGACACGTACTGATGATAACCACGAAGACTGTGGCAAGTGGACTTGAGACACAAATTGATAAACCAGAGATCCCTCACCCCTGTGTGGTTGAAGCTGTGACGCTGACAACCATAATGGTGGCATTGGTGAGGATTTGCTGCAGAGTTTCATTGTTCTTGCATTTCTCCAGATTGTTCCCCAGTTCCTTAGTAAGAAAAACAAAATCGAGGATACATGAGGTTCAATCCACACGAGGCAATATCAGGCACAATATTTTCAACCTGTTCTAATTAAATAAAATGAAATGGAAGATGACTAAGCAGCGAGTTTAAATTTTAAAATGTGGCGAAAAAGGGGTTGAATCCCCACAAATCATCAGCACTGACAGCAAAGGTTAATGCAACACTTATATTTTAAACATCATCAGAATTCTTATGAAATGTCTTTATGATAACAGTCTTAAGTCATCATTCTTTGGGGGAAAAAAATAAATAAATCTCAGTTTCTCATCTCACCTTGACTGTACGGATGTAATCTAGAGAATCTGGCACCAGAGACTCCAGCTCTGGAAACCTCTTGGAGTATTTGTCCCTGGTAAATTTGTGAATGATATCTGAAAACAAGGCAGAAAACAACTTGGGTTATACAGAACACAACAAAGTCCTCAACACTCTGATTATATTACCAGGAAGAGTCAACACACTGAGCTCATTGTCGATCTCCACTGTGAGATTATTGGCCGCTACAATCAGTCTGTATTCTGGGTCAGCTTCAACTGGGCCTGAAACTGAAAACCAACAAAATTTATTCTGATTCTTGGTTAACTTTCATCTTGAATTAAATGTACTGAGAAGCATCTAAAACATGACAGAAACTAACATTTACAATGTAAAATGTTAATATACAATGTAGGAATGACAGCTACAGGAGAGGATCCTAAATGGGTTATACACACCATCTGAGTTCTTGCGCTGCTTTCCAATATATCCTGAAATTTTGTCCATGATTTCTGAAAACTGTAAAACATACATTAAGGTTATAAAGGGATGACCAGACAAAAGGTATTATTAAAAATCTCAATGTGTGTAAAGCTCTCATATGATATAACTCACCTGTTTGCTATTGCGGAGCTTGGCAATAGACGCAACACTCTCAGCTTTACTGTAGTCCACCTCCATCTCCTCTGGGATATCCTCCAGCCCTCCCTCCATCCTTCCCTTAGTCACCTCTCCATCACTCTCACCCTCCTCCCCCTCTGGATACAGTCCATCCTCCCCCTCATCTCCAGCCTCCTCCAGGTCAGCCAGGAGCTCATCTGCCAGAGACATCTGCAAACAGAGGCACAAAGTGTGAGGGCACAGAGATAACCTAAAACTTCTCAGATAATTTCAAGAGGAACTGATCATAAAACATACATGTTTGTTGCACAAATGTATGTTTACATTTCCTAACCACTAATTTCTGTGATATCCTGGATAACTGAAATGTGAACAATAATGCAAAAAAACTTAATGGCATTGTTTTGTGTTCTTGTTATTTGTAAAATGTATGTGCCATACTTGTATCTTATACCGTTTATTTAATTATTTAATAAAAAGCTAAATCAACCACAAATAGGAATCTTTATGTATAGCCTTAGACACCTATGCAACTTAGCGTTTATATGATTTATCTGACTGACATTTATATGACTGACGTTGTTTTCAAATACTCAGTTAACACCAATATACTCCCCGTGTCGAGTCTCTTTTCAACCTCTCAAATATCAATAAATGTAACACAAAATACCCAGTGAAAAAGACAAAAACTGAACATATATATACACCACAGAACTGTTTGTCAAATACAGTGGTTGTTACATTAATGCACAGTTCATGTTAGCTAGTGTTAGCTAGTGTTAACAAACGTTCGATAGACGGAACCGGGTCACGTTACTCAACGCTTTCTAAATCACATTAACTTACCTCGAGGGTTAAAACTCCTGCAGACTAGAAAACAAAGCAAAACGCCTTTTGAAGGCTAAAACTTCTCTTGTATGAAGACAAAACAATATTTTATGGGATGCCTTCTAGTCAACCTCCGTTGTACAGCCGTATCGCTCGTCGCAGACTAAATACGTAAAACCTCCACACAGCTTCCTGGGAAATGTAGTCGGACGTTCTTCTTCTTCTTGATTTTTAACGGTGGTTGTCAACCAGCGGTCTTCACGGAAGAAGGGGATACACCAGACATCATGGGCCTAAATACAGCGCTTTAGGATTACAAAACAATAGGCTACTTTTTTTTTTTTATCATGAAACAGTTCAATAAGATATTCACATTTTGTAATTTTTATTTCCCCTTGTACATTATCCCTTGAAAACCATTTTTAAACAATACAGGTTTTAAACCAACATTTAAACAGACTAAACAAATTGACTATTTTGACCATGACTGCATGATGGATTGTTATTAGTAGAAAATGAGATAAATTAACAAATACACAAACTAATGGAGTTATTTACTGATGAAAGGCTTCAAATTTTCATGCTAAGCTACATTAACTGTCATTAAACAAGGTAAAAGAATGACAAGACAGCTAAAAATTCATAGACATCGGAAAATAAAGAAACATTACAGGACATAGTTCGATACAGATTGGCATATATTAACAATAACAAGTAAAATTATACAAAATATTTGTTTTTAGCAATTAAGACGTTTGGGAAAATATTTTGATTCATTTGTTATGAAGATCATAGAGAAGATATAACCTAGATGCATTCTGTCCCAAACAAATCATAGCTAAGTTTATATATGTTAATTGCACAAAGGCAAATAAATTAATTCATAAATAAATAAATAAAATATTGCATGGAATAAATAAAACAATATAAGAAATAAATTGCCTATAATAAATAATTTAAGAGAATGCTTTTTAGAATTAAAAGTATAAAGAAATACAACTCGTTTCATTTTCCGTGCAATCTAAGAATACATCTAAAAGTAAACAGCTCTAAAATGATATTGTATACACTTGTATTATGATATTTGTACAAATGTAAATGAGTATTCTCAAATATAAGAGTCAAGCAATTTCTGTTCAAAACTGCTGCCTACAAGAACAACTGACTGACTGCATTGAAAAACATATTCAATAAGGAGAAGACTGGAATCCAAGCATTTACACAGACAGATGAATGATTAAACAAAGCGCATTCCCCACATATCTGGAGAATAATACAACAGAATGAAGCAGAAAAAGAGAAAGTAAGCTGGTTACACAGCACGACTCCCACTGCATAGCTGTCAAATCAGTTTCAGACTTTAAAGAGCTCCGGGCTCCTCTTCTTCTAGCATATGCTGCCGTTCCCAAAGACTTTTGTAGCTGAAGGCTACGAATAAACTCTGTAAACAGTGGCAGGGGGGGGTGCCATACAAAATCCTGTCGCTGGTAAAACCTGGAATGTGTCCATCTTTTAGACCGGGAGTCTCATTCTTTCAGTTGCCTATTCAATAAAAAAATAGCCTCTGGGTGAATGGCTGGTTGTTGGGGTTAATTCACTGGCCAGTCCAAGACAGTCTACTCTAAAGGTTCCCATGATGAGGTGTAACATCACACCGAGTGGGGGTCATCAGCAGGGCTGACAGTGAAGCGAGATGATGTCACTGGACTGGCCCCCACAGGTGACCTTGTCTTAATTGATAAATCCGCTTTATTTTTTGATTCTTTGCCTTTGATGTTTGGCCCTGACAGAGAGAAAAGCACAATCAAATATGATGTGAAGACCCAGTCTCGATGATGTATAATGGCTGATGATGATGATAATGTATAATAATTTCATTTTACCTCCATTTTGTCATTAAGTGATTTTCAGAAACATATTATTAATGAGTTGAAATCTTCATACTGCTTTAGTTTCTGTCTTGTTTGTGATCTGTGTCGTGATGTTGCATTCCTCCAGCACAAGGGGAAGCGTTGACTTACCTTCATGCTGTGGGTGTGGTTGTTGGTCAGAACCAAATCATCAAGATTTATGGTGAAGCTTGTAGTTCCATATGCGTTATTCAGTAAAAATTCTGCCCTTAAGTCACACACTGTCATGTAATATTGCACATTAAACTATTACAGTTAATTTTGTTTAATGTATAGTGTTTCTCATTCCCACACTTACATACAGTATAAATGTTTGTCTGTCGGCCAGCAATCTCAGTGGGTTCATTGCTCATTCTTATTAATTTGTATGCCCTGTTAAATGTGTTCATATTTGAGTTAAAGTGGTCTGTTTGTCATGCACATTGAAATTTAGGTCTAATCTGCCTGACCTGACCATGGATGATTACTGAACAATTTTCATATTACTGCTGCACAGCATACTGAAGCTACAGCAATACTTCATCAAAATACTGTAAAATTAGTGAAGCATTTTTAATCAGAATCTAATCTCCAGTAAATAATTACGTTCTGGTGATGTTTGTAAATCAAAAACAATACATCAGGGTTTTGGTTCACCTGCAGAATGTCTCTGAAAGAAACACAAAATGACCACAAATGACCACAGCCATCATTCTGTGTCTCTTTCAGCATGGAGGTTTTGCTCCCATCTAGTACGGGTGGTGAACCTTTTACATATCCCAGGAGCCCAATATTTCTGTCTATGACTGGTATAAACAGTAAGACATTAGTCACACAATGGCAGGAACAAACTAGTAATCTATATCTATTAATATAATCGATCTGAAGAAATACAAAATGGTTTTCAGTTAAAAATAACCACATTTCAAAGGGAAAACAGTCTTTTCTTTCAAGACCTTGAAGTCTCAGCTCTTAAGGCTGCAAATGAAAGCATCTAATTTTGGCGTTCCTACATTTGTGTATGTGTGGAGCCCAAAGGAAAGTCTGAGCCTAAACTTCATTATTCTGTCAAATGAGGTGATGAGTGTACAAGATGGAGAGCGGAAGTCAAAAGAGCAAATGAAAAAGTGTTGGGAAACACAGCTTAGGCCTGTATTGTTGAGCAGAGGATTTATGTCCCTGCTCAGATCCACATGTCACAGTGTCGAGGGGGATAATTATAGAAGATTAATCCTGGCTGCATATTAGGAATGGAGATGGGAGAATTGAGGGTTTTCCATTTCAGTGGATGGAAATGAGTTAGAGGCTGTCAGATTTTATTACGTCATTCTGCAGCTTAAGGTGGGGACTGAGTAAAAATACATGAATAGGAAGATACATATTTAAGATTGATGTGCATTATCTTTATAGTCCAACAAAACTAAAGGTTTTCAGCCATGCTAGGGACTCTATATTACTGCATTTGAACACTGGTGCTTTCCTAATACTAACATGCTCACAGTGGCAATGCTTACATGTTGACGCTAAGCAGGTATATTGTTTACCATGTTCACCATCTAAATTGATCGTGTTAGCCTGCTAATATGAGAAAATTAGCACAAAAAACAAAGTAGAGCTGAAGCTAATGGGAAAGCTATTCATTTTGCAGGTTTTTATTCATAAACCAAAGTAGTATAGACAAACTGAAATTCTGATCTGATTACGGCACAAGATGAAAAGTCAGTGAATAATTGAAATTGTTACAATTCTTCCTGATGGGTGCTTCGATGGCTGCACCAAATTTAATGGCAAGCCATGCAATATTAGTTGAGACACTTTAATAAAATTTAAAAAAAATCAGCCTTGGTGGCACTAAAGGAGAGGTCAGAGGATTATCAGCATCAGTAGGATTCATCATTTGTTAACCCTGTCCGTACAAAATTTCATGCCAATCCATTGTGTAAATGGATGTACGTGTACATTTCACGGGGTAAGTGGAAATTGTGACCTTCTGGTTGTGCTACAGAAGAAGTCAGGAGTTCACATGAGTCAGTAGGATTCACGCTCTGAGGTTCAATAATGTTAGTTAGTTGTTATGGACCAGCTAAAGCCATGCCGCTCGTGTGGTGTGAGATGTTTATGAACCTACCGTGCAAATCCAACTTGGTGCTTTTGACAGACATTGCAGCCGGACTAGTGGGTGCTGAAGAGCTTAACTCATTGGTTGGAGTTTCCTGTTGCAATGAAAAAGAATAGTCAGGCCTCCCTTTATAATATATATCATGATCTGTTAATTATGTCCGTCCCTGGTAGGCTAGTGGTTAAGGCGCAGCAGCAAAGAGCCATGCAATATTAGTTGAGACACTTTAATAAAATTAAAAAAAATCAGCCTTGGTGGCACTAAAGGAGAGGTCAGAGGATTATCAGCATCAGTAGGATTCATCATTTGTTAACCCTGTCCGTACAAAATTTCATGCCAATCCATTGTGTAAATGGATGTACGTGTACATTTCACGGGGTAAGTGGAAATTGTGACCTTCTGGTTGTGCTACAGAAGAAGTCAGGAGTTCACATGAGTCAGTAGGATTCACGCTCTGAGGTTCAATAAGCAGCAAAGAGCGCTGCGCCTTAACCACTAGCCTACCAGGGACGGACATAATTAACAGATCGCCTCAGGTTCGCCCCAGGTTCAAATCAGGGTTGTGTCAGGAAGGGCATCCAGCATAAAACACGTGCCAAATGCCAACATGCGAGTCGTCAGTGTGACGATTCGCTGTGGCGACCCCTAAACGGGAAAAGCCGAAAGTGACTTTCTTTTATTTGTTAATTATGTATGAATGTGTGGGAAATACCTGATCAAAAAGATAAATGGTGACATCATCAAAAAAGGACACATTTCGTCCTCTGTCCTTCTCCCTGTCCATCGGTTCCCTGGGGGACTTCAGCAGACTCCTCAGCCCGACACGTTTGTCCACGTCCGTTTCTGTGACGACGATCACCCTCCGGGAGCTTTCATCCTCCTGCTCATCCTCCTCATCATCATCAGGGTCACTCCCCAGTGACAGACCTCTCCGCCTTCCGATTCGACTTCCAATCGCTCCATCTCCAAATCCCCCTTTACCAGTGGGAGTGAGGGGAAGAGTCAGCGCAAGAGGAGGGAGGGCGAGAGATAGACGAGCTAATTTTGCTGTGAAAGTGAGGTGAGGGAGAAGATTTAGACATAAGGAATATCTGACAGGAGTCCCACCTGTCACCTAAGGTGAAGCAAGCAACAATATATACTTGTACAATTAGATTTGAAAAAAACTGAATAAATATCTGTTAGAAGTAGAACAAATACATCTTCATTGCAAGGACAGGAAGGCAAATTTAAAAAACATGGTTACCTTTCATATATCATGTTACCATTACAACTGTTAATTTGTTTACCTCCTCCCAGTAAGAATATAGATGAAAGTCTGTCGACCTACTGCAGATGGTTATTCACTATTTATTATCCACTATATATTGTTATCCACTATTTTATCTTTCATGCTTTTCTTTTCCTTTTTAGATTAAGGATTTTTACTTAATTATGCATGCATCTGTTTGTTGTATGTGTACTGTTTTAAAAACACAATAAAAACACTGCTGTCTCTCACTGTTGTACTGTCTATTATTAAAACTCTTTTACTGAAGTCTGTTTACTGTTCTCCACAATACTGCCACTGATGAGTCAACTAAGACCCTAATTAATTTATCTTATTTATTTAGCACAATATATCTTAAAGTTAGGTTTTGGTTCAGCATTGGTTAGATGACTGGTGGGGGTTTGTTTAAGATTAAGTGACAAAGGAACACTAATTAATGGCAAAAGAAACACAAAAGCACATAATAATGCTTGAGGAACTTGGTTCCTCAAGTAAACATACATGAGTACAGTACAGTAAACATCATTTACCTTGTGTACTGAGCTTCCATATGAATGCTCTCTTTGGCACATTTAATTGTGTGTTATATGGAATAGTATTGGATTACTGTATATTGTTATGTATGTAAATGGTGTGTGTGTGTGTGCATGTATAGTGTACACATATATAATACTCAGTATTATATATTGTAGTGTATATTGTTGCGTATGTGTGTTGTATGCACTATATATATACTGTACATGTGTGCATATATATGTACTGTATATGTATGTGTACTGTGCATACAGCCTGTATATTGTGGATACTGTATATTATTGCATAGTATTATAAGCCTAGTAGGACAGTGATGGAGGGTAGAAAGGTACTTAGATGTTATGTCATGTCTTCTTATATTTCATGGCACTGCTTTTCTTCTTTTGTCTCTCCTCTATCCACTCACCCCAGCCGGTCGAGGCAGAAGGCCGCCCACCAAGAGCTGGGGTCTGACAGGGTTTCTTCAGTTAAAGGGAGTTTTTCCTCCCCACTGTCACTGAGTGCTTGCTCAAAGGGGATTTATTGGGTTTTCTTTATAATAGTGTACGGTGTAGACCTGATTATGCCTTGAGACAATTGTTGCTGTGAATTGGCGCTATACAAATAAACTGAAATGAAATTAACCACTCATGCAAAGCTATAGGTTACTAAGATGTACTATGCATGTTAGACATCCGTCAGACATATTGCTGTGTGATAAAAGACCATACAATGAACATGTGCATTTGATTATCTCAATCATGACGGCATAAACCAACACCAGCAACACAACAGTACCTTTCATTGCCTGGTTTGCAGTGGGCTGAGGTGTTGCAGCCTCAGGTTGTTCAATCACAGTGAGTAGCTCAGGTTTAGTTTCATCAGAGTCGATATGGGGCTGAACACTGGGGCCACGCTCCTCTTGGCTGCACAAACACACAAATCAATTGAGCTAATTAATCAAGCAAATATTAACACATTAAATTCACAATTTAAATTAACTTAAACGGTCGGTTCACCAAAATCACAAACTATCATTTTTTCACTTACCCTGTGTGGAATCTAGCCATACAGATACAGTAATGTGGTGTTCTGTTTTTATTTACCTTTTTTTTTTGGGATTTGTCTCAACTGCTTCTGCTGCCACCCCGGTGTGGCGTGGGATTTAATGGGATTTCATTTGTGGTGATCACAACATAAAACAAAAACATTAAAAATTACAAAAGTAACTTCTCTTTCCAGAAACCAAGTAGGCGTTACCGCGCACAGTTTTCATTAACAGGCCCGATGAAAACTTGTCCCAGTGTGTTTTGGTGAAAGAGATACTGCTGTTTATTTTACCACAAATGAAAATCCATTCACCTTCACTGTATTGCCATAAAACTGATATTTTTATTTGCCCCTAAAGACACAGTTTTTTTTTATCTTGTGCTTATACATTTTGATCTTGTACATTACAAGAAAATGAAAAAAATGACTTAGCACTAGAGGTAAATATTCTGTTAACTGGAGGATGCTTTACAACAAACTCTGATATGTTATTCAGATCGGATTTCCAAGTTAAGCCTTCTTACCTTTCATCATCTTTTTGTTCCTTCACCGTCACCAGGTCATTGCTGCTGTCTATTACTTGTTCTCCCCAGGGCCGGAGTGTAACTGTGTCTTTCACAGTTGCCCCCCAAAGCACATTTGTTTTCACATTTTCACTGAGGGAGAACTGTAGCCTCTCCTCACACACCTGAAACAACAACACGAAACAATAACAAGGGGTGAATAAAGTCAGAAAGGTGAGATAAAAAGTCATGTTTACTCTTATGACAAAAGACATACTCACCTGCATCATGAGGCCATTCTTTGCTGTCATCTTAGAAAGCGATCCCTGGTCTTTGACATCAGATGTTTGGCCTGATGATCTTAGTGTGTCGTTCCTCTCCTTTTGAGGTGACAATCTATCTTGGGAATCCAGGATCACGGGTAGTGCTGACTCTACCAGATCATCAGATTTATTGCTGACCAAATCCTCTTTCAAAATCATCCCCTCTGAAGGAGAGGAGCTACATATGTTCTGGACTGTATCAGCAGCACTGATTCCTTTCTGATCATGTGTTTTCTTCAAAGACTCCAGGAGCTCGAGGTTCCCCAAGAAAAGGTCCCCTAGGGTGTCCTCCTCATCGCCAGATATGCAGCACAGTTGTTCCAGTTTTTCAAAGTCCTCCAGGGGCTCCTCATCCAAATTTTTCCATTCAGAAATCAGTAATTCTGGGAGATTGTTGAGGGGAACTTGGGGAGAGGACGGGGGGGCAGATGATGTTTTCTGGGTCAGGTTATTATATTCGTCCTGACTTTCTATGCTGGATGCTAGGTTATTCTCATTGTGCTGTGTTATATGCACAGAGGGGAGGTTCAGATTGGCTGATATCCCTTTACTCTGAGCTGCAGCAGGGGATGATTCTTGTAGGGGTGGCTCTGAGACATCTATGTTGTGTGTTGAGGAAATATACGGCTCTGTCTCAGAGCTAGCAATAAAATCATCTAGATTGATGTGACTAATAAACTCCTCTGCTTCTATAACAGATGGCGGTGGACTAGGAAAAGAGTCGTCTAAACTCTCCAGTTTATCATCGTGCACATCAAGGTCTATACTCGGTGGAGGACTTGGAAAATCTACTGAGCTGAAGCTGTCTACCTGTGGATACTGTGCATACAGCCTGTATATTGTGGATACTGTATATTATTGCATAGTATTATAAGCCTAGTAGGACAGTGATGGAGGGTAGAAAGGTACTTAGATGTTATGTCATGTCTTCTTATATTTCATGGCACTGCTTTTCTTCTTTTGTCTCTCCTCTATCCACTCACCCCAGCCGGTCGAGGCAGAAGGCCGCCCACCAAGAGCTGGGGTCTGACAGGGTTTCTTCAGTTAAAGGGAGTTTTTCCTCCCCACTGTCACTGAGTGCTTGCTCAAAGGGGATTTATTGGGTTTTCTTTATAATAGTGTACGGTGTAGACCTGATTATGCCTTGAGACAATTGTTGCTGTGAATTGGCGCTATACAAATAAACTGATGTTATGTCATGTCTTCTTATATTTCATGGCACTGCTTTTCTTCTTTTGTCTCTCCTCTATCCACTCACCCCAGCCGGTCGAGGCAGAAGGCCGCCCACCAAGAGCTGGGGTCTGACAGGGTTTCTTCAGTTAAAGGGAGTTTTTCCTCCCCACTGTCACTGAGTGCTTGCTCAAAGGGGATTTATTGGGTTTTCTTTATAATAGTGTACGGTGTAGACCTGATTATGCCTTGAGACAATTGTTGCTGTGAATTGGCGCTATACAAATAAACTGAAATGAAATTAACCACTCATGCAAAGCTATAGGTTACTAAGATGTACTATGCATGTTAGACATCCGTCAGACATATTGCTGTGTGATAAAAGACCATACAATGAACATGTGCATTTGATTATCTCAATCATGACGGCATAAACCAACACCAGCAACACAACAGTACCTTTCATTGCCTGGTTTGCAGTGGGCTGAGGTGTTGCAGCCTCAGGTTGTTCAATCACAGTGAGTAGCTCAGGTTTAGTTTCATCAGAGTCGATATGGGGCTGAACACTGGGGCCACGCTCCTCTTGGCTGCACAAACACACAAATCAATTGAGCTAATTAATCAAGCAAATATTAACACATTAAATTCACAATTTAAATTAACTTAAACGGTCGGTTCACCAAAATCACAAACTATCATTTTTTCACTTACCCTGTGTGGAATCTAGCCATACAGATACAGTAATGTGGTGTTCTGTTTTTATTTACCTTTTTTTTTTGGGATTTGTCTCAACTGCTTCTGCTGCCACCCCGGTGTGGCGTGGGATTTAATGGGATTTCATTTGTGGTGATCACAACATAAAACAAAAACATTAAAAATTACAAAAGTAACTTCTCTTTCCAGAAACCAAGTAGGCGTTACCGCGCACAGTTTTCATTAACAGGCCCGATGAAAACTTGTCCCAGTGTGTTTTGGTGAAAGAGATACTGCTGTTTATTTTACCACAAATGAAAATCCATTCACCTTCACTGTATTGCCATAAAACTGATATTTTTATTTGCCCCTAAAGACACAGTTTTTTTTTATCTTGTGCTTATACATTTTGATCTTGTACATTACAAGAAAATGAAAAAAATGACTTAGCACTAGAGGTAAATATTCTGTTAACTGGAGGATGCTTTACAACAAACTCTGATATGTTATTCAGATCGGATTTCCAAGTTAAGCCTTCTTACCTTTCATCATCTTTTTGTTCCTTCACCGTCACCAGGTCATTGCTGCTGTCTATTACTTGTTCTCCCCAGGGCCGGAGTGTAACTGTGTCTTTCACAGTTGCCCCCCAAAGCACATTTGTTTTCACATTTTCACTGAGGGAGAACTGTAGCCTCTCCTCACACACCTGAAACAACAACACGAAACAATAACAAGGGGTGAATAAAGTCAGAAAGGTGAGATAAAAAGTCATGTTTACTCTTATGACAAAAGACATACTCACCTGCATCATGAGGCCATTCTTTGCTGTCATCTTAGAAAGCGATCCCTGGTCTTTGACATCAGATGTTTGGCCTGATGATCTTAGTGTGTCGTTCCTCTCCTTTTGAGGTGACAATCTATCTTGGGAATCCAGGATCACGGGTAGTGCTGACTCTACCAGTTCATCAGATTTATTGCTGACCAAATCCTCTTTCAAAATCATCCCCTCTGAAGGAGAGGAGCTACATATGTTCTGGACTGTATCAGCAGCACTGATTCCTTTCTGATCATGTGTTTTCTTCAAAGACTCCAGGAGCTCGAGGTTCCCCAAGAAAAGGTCCCCTAGGGTGTCCTCCTCATCGCCAGATATGCAGCACAGTTGTTCCAGTTTTTCAAAGTCCTCCAGGGGCTCCTCATCCAAATTTTTCCATTCAGAAATCAGTAATTCTGGGAGATTGTTGAGGGGAACTTGGGGAGAGGACGGGGGGGCAGATGATGTTTTCTGGGTCAGGTTATTATATTCGTCCTGACTTTCTATGCTGGATGCTAGGTTATTCTCATTGTGCTGTGTTATATGCACAGAGGGGAGGTTCAGATTGGCTGATATCCCTTTACTCTGAGCTGCAGCAGGGGATGATTCTTGTAGGGGTGGCTCTGAGACATCTATGTTGTGTGTTGAGGAAATATACGGCTCTGTCTCAGAGCTAGCAATAAAGTCATCTAGATTGATGTGACTAATAAACTCCTCTGCTTCTATAACAGATGGCGGTGGACTAGGAAAAGAGTCGTCTAAACTCTCCAGTTTATCATCGTGCACATCAAGGTCTATACTCGGTGGAGGACTTGGAAAATCTACTGAGCTGAAGCTGTCTACCTGTGGATATGATTGATCAGTTTCCTCCTGTACATCAAGGTCAGTGGAAGAAGAAATGGGATTTGATGGAGGAGACATGTCTCTGTGATCCTCGCCTGCATTCATAATGCTTATTCTTTCATCTGTACATTGCCTAGAAAACCATGGTCTCTTTTCAGCCTCTGAATCTAAGCCTGATTCAACATTTTCCAGGTCTGAAGAGTTCACATGAGGAGCTTCAGTAATGCAAACAGATATAGCTGAGCTTTTATTCTCTAGAGTGTGACCAAAGTAGTTCTCTGAATTAAAGCCTGCTTCATTGTCAGCCTGTTCAGCTGATATCTGCTTCTCCTTTTGGATCCTACAGAGGTGATTCTGAGGCCATCTGTTAAAATTTTGATTCTCTTCTGTCTCTGTGGAATCTAGTTGACCTTGCCTGTCCAGGATTGTCTCTGTGCATAATGAAATCCGCCTGTCTCCTTGCTCCAGGGTCTCCTGCTCTGGGTTTTCTATATTCTCTACTTCGATATCTGTGATTTCTTGTTTTGGCTCACTGTTAAAACTGTCTGTTTCTCCTAAGTTCTCAATGTTTTCCTCCTGTTGCATGTCTACTACTTGGGCAGTCTGTTGGTTATCCTTAGAGTCCAAGCTTTCTATCACAGTTAGTTTACCAGTTACTCCTAGTGCTTCATGGTTCCATGTTTCTTCACTGCCCTCCAAGAAAGCAGGGTGAGGCTCACTTCCTGCAAGTTCATCATTTTCTTCAGTCTCCCAAAACTCCTGACCCACAACAAGCCGCTCCCCCACCTCCCACGCCTTATTACTGAACCCAGAGAAAAATTCAGATCTTAGTTCAGTATTTTGGCATCTCTTCTCTGGAGAGGCCCACTGGTCATTTTCATCAGGCCACAAGTGCAAATCCTTTGACAGTAAAAAACGGTGGCAGTCAAACTCTCCTCTAACCACACCAGGTATTTCTTCATCCTCCTCCAGAGCACTCCATAACTCTTTAGTTTTCACATCCAGTCCCTCACAGGACTCTTCATCTCCATCGTTAGCAGATTCCATCCCACCTTCGGCTACTCTCAGAGACAACTTTTCCTTCATGGCGTAACTCAACTCTGCAGCAGCCAGCTGTTTCTCCGTCTCTGTTGTGATCCTTCTGTCCTCGCTGCCATCTGTGCAGTGGAGGTTTCTCAGGCCCAGCTCATTGTGGTCTAAGCAAGGCCTCTCTTTACATCTCTTAGGCTCATTATCACCCTCCTCTGCCCAAGAAGGACATGCCAGTCCACTCACTTTATCATTGACACACTTCTCATCATCACTTGGTTCAACTACTGACAGCATTTCATCTCTAAATGTGGCATCAGGGATGTGGATGCTGTACCGGTTAGCTAATCTAGACTCTCTTTTGTCAACTTGGGATGGTGCCACAGTTTTCACTGTATCATTTTCACATTTGAGAGAATTCAGTGCAGAAAGACTAATATCTGGTTGTGTAATATTTGTGTAATCTCTGATGCTTGGTCTTAAAATGCATTCCTTTGACTGGCTGCCAGATACAGACTCAATCAAAGTATTTGTCTCAGCCAGGTTCCTGGAATGTAGATTTAAGTTGTTCTCTGCAGATCCCTGGTATCTGCAATCTGTTATTTGAGAGATGATGCCATTTGTGTAATGGCTGTGTATTGCATACCCACTGCTGTGTGGGAGCCCTTTCAGTGGCTCATCATCTAATTTTGAGAACAACTTATCAATGAAGTCAATGCAGTCCTTGACAGGGGGATCATTGCACAGCAGTGCTGAGTTTTTGCTTTCATTGTGAAAAATGCCAGAATCATCTCCCTGTGTTGAGCCCAGTCCTTTGCTTAGATGATCTTTCTCGTCATCTAAATGGGAGATGTCATTTTCAGGAGCATTTTGATATGTTATAACCTTCTCCTCACACACCACAACAGTCGTCATTTCCCCAGTTTTACCTTTTTTATCTAACATCTGTAGACCTTTTCTTAAAGGGCTCTTTTCTCCCATCTCTCCCTCCTCCTCAGTTTTTTCTTCTATCCCTGTCAGTGTTCCCCTTTCCACTCCTCGACCACTGCTTGGCCTGGAAGCAGTAACTCCATCACTGCTCCTTCTGTTCATCCCTTCCCCCTCCCAGTCACTGTCTGAGAAATAGGCAGAGTCTCGATGTGGTATATCATTTCCCAGAGCCCGCCACCCACCACTTCCCACTCCTCCTCCCACCCATGAGTCGCTAGGTGTGAGGCAGTCGGCTGAGCTGGAAGTCATAGATGACAGGGCTGAGTCCGTGGGGGTGACAAGTGAAGCATCAGAGGACGGGTCCCAGTCTGGAGTGGTTGGAGTAACGGCAGGAGTGGCTGCCTTTTGGACAATATGACCACTGTGTCCTAGTAAATGTTCTCTTTTCATCTCTGCTAAGCTTTCATTGTCATTTTGAGAACCCATATTTTTAAAGTTCTTGGAATCAGCAGCTGGGATGTTTTCAGAGTCCACTACAGTGTGGCTTTTTTCTTTCTCAAGATCATATGATTGGGTATCAGTCTCTCCACATGTTTGATCCTGTCTCTCAGGACTAGCTGCCTGCAGGTCTTCTTTCATTATCTCACCATTCCTTATAGCAACAGGCTTTTGAGTATCAGTTTCATTTATAAAGAGTGATTTGCTCACAGTGTTGGATTCTTTAACACTCTCAGTGGATTCAACAGGAGATTCCTCTGAGAGATCTGTTTGCTCTCCTCTGGCAGGTAAGGCAGGGCCATCTGCACACTCCTCCTCCTCTGTCTGACATGCAAGTGTCTGGTTGTGTAGTAAACCATTTTTGGGCATGATTTCAGAAAACACAAACTCACCAGAATTGCAGTGGTCAGCATTATTTCCTTGGGCGTCCAGTTTGAAAGGTTGTTTGTTTGATCCTATGTGAAGGACTGGGATCTCAGGTCTCATGGAAACCTTTATCTCACTCTTTTTAGCACGTTTGGTCACCTGGGCATAGATAGCCTCAGTTTGTGTATCACTGCCTTCATTGGATGCTCGTATGGAACTCTCTGACTGAAATCTGATGGTCTGAGCAGAGTTTGGGTCAATGCATATAGACTCGTATTCAGGTGACAGTGGAGTAGGGGAATAAGAAGAATCTGCTGAAGCAGTTTGTCTTGATATGATTTCAGTCAGAAAGGTCTCTGCTGATTGGATCTCCTTCAGGAACTCTTCCCTGGTCATTTCACTTCTCTGTAGATCCTTTTCAGTATGCTGTAGTTCAAATTCCTGTTTCCCAATGGTGATCTCAGAGAGGAGGGAGCGGGACCTCCGTATACCCTTTGAGTAAGTCTCCTCAGCCTCAGTATATGAGGGAATGCCTGGAGTACAGACATAGGGCCTCAATCTGGGTCCCGCAGGATAAAGGTATTTTACTGGGTCACTTTCTGATCCCCCCTCTACATCCATGCTTATTCCTCCTGTGTTGATCTCTGTGAGAAAAAGTTCCCTCGGGAATGAGTCTTTAGTGACTGTATTGTCCTTCTCAACTCCTGTCGTGTTGATATGTTTCTCTGGTCCCCATGACTGTCCTACTGAACCCAGCTCTGTGATCAGCGACCGGGAGCGGCGCATCCCTCTGTGGGGCAGCACATAGTTACCCCATCTTTCTCCATCTCTTTTCTCCTTCTTTTGTCCCTCCCATGATGCCTCTGACTTGGGCTTATTAGACTCTGTCACAGTAGATATCTCTGTCAGAAACAGATGCATGGGGGATTTTTTGGCTGCGGCCACACGCTCTGTCTGAAGTTCAGCATCTTCCTTCCAGATGGCAGGCAGGATGGTGTCAAGGCGTGACTGAGTCCTTTTCATGCCCCTGGAGAAGAGCTCTGCAGTATCTGGGTCTGCATCTTCAGATAAACTGGAGTGAGTGACAGTAGTAACACCAATGAATCTCTCAGGGGACATGAAGGGAGAGTCATCCTCATCTGAGTAGGTGGGACTGGATGATGACTGCCTCTCAATCTGGGAGTTTGTGGCCTGAAGGCGGGGTAAATTGCGATAAATAGGGCGCAAAGGGTTTTCTCGACGAACAGGGGAGTCAAAGTCTTTTACACGTGAATGAGAAGTCTCCTTGGAGTTGTGCAATGTTGCTGCATGCCTGGTACCGCCGTCTCTGTCAGACAAGTCACAGGATAGTGGGTCTCTATTGGATCTCTGTATCTGCGGCTTACTGTACCTTGAGTATGTGTCGGTTGTGTTGTAGTTTGGGCAGCTTCTTTGTGGTTTGGAGTGGGGAGGAAGAGGAGGAGGACACATTTGAGAAGGCTGGGGGTAAACTGGATGGCTTGATGGGGGAAGGGATGGAGATAAAGAAGGGGATGGGGGCAGAGTCTGTCGGGAGCGATGGAGCCCCAAATGATCAAAGGTAGAAGGTGGGCAGCTGCTCATGTGATGTGGGTCTGTCTCAATTTTTCCAATGACGGTGTAGTGAGGCAGTCCTCTATATTCAAGCGGAGGGGCAGGGAGGGGGCGTGAGTGAAGGTGGTTGGCTGATGACATGGACATAGAGCGAGGCTTAGGAGGGAGGACTGGAGCTTGAGAACTCATAGATGATTTTTTATCTGCCTCACTGCTCATTTTCTTCTCATCTTCATCATCATCCCCTAAATCGACTACAGAGAAGTCAGTCACTCTGCTCGAAGTGTCTCTGAACTCTGCTACACCTGTGTTGGGCACCTGGAGCTGAATCTCAGTGGATCTGACGGTCTGGAGGCCCTTTCCACACTTGTCAGAGGAACAATAAGGGACTCGCTCTTTTCCCAACATCCCACTACGAATCTCCACTAACTCCACATCTCCGGGGCAAATTGAGTCAGAACAGAAAAAGGACTGTGCCTTCTCCTTTAGAGTTGGTGACTTATCTTGGGGGGTGTGCTCCTCTAATCTGATGTAGTACTCACTGGCAAGGGAGGGACTGCGAGCGCTTATAACAGGGACCACAGTGGGAGTGTCTAAAGATTGTCTGTGGTTATTGTTGACAGTAGGGATTGGCTGAGGAGGAGGAAGAGGTTTGTAGCCTCGTCTGGCATGAGCTTTCTCCCAGAAATACTCAAAGTTCAAACCTTTGCTAGTTTCTGTGACTGTTAAGATGTCATCCAGTTCTGACGAGGACGGGGTGATACAGTTCCCCACAGCGTCCAGCAGGGGGTAGGAGTTGTCTCTGTGCTCCCTGCCATACTCTCTCTCCCTTGGCCGCTCGTTTGCTGCAGTCTGAAAGGCAGGTGGACGGAGTAAGTCCCAGCGTCTTTCAAATGACTCCTCACTCTCCCCTCTCCTTCCTCTGCCCTCTTCATACTCCACATCCTCTTCATTTTCTTCTCTGACACTCCCCCTTGCCATTCCTCGCTCAGCGGCCAGGAGGGACGAGAGGAGGAGGAATATCTCAGCTACAGAAGGGCGTTGAGATGGAGGAAGCCAGCAGGACTGCATGATCTCGTACCTACAGACAAGAAAGACCAAACAAAGGAGTTAAGTTTTGAATGACATAATTAGAGCATTATTACTTTCCATTAACATAATTATCATTTCTCCAGAATGTACTTGGTGGATGAGTAGACTTACCAATAGTCTGCATGGGAGAGTTTGAGTCTGGGCTGGGCCAGTGTGATCTGTCTCTCCCTAATAACGAAGGTCAGCACCTCTTCGTCACTCAGGTGTCTGTGGGGCTGAGAGCCAAACTCAAACAGTTCCCATATCACCACCCCCAGGGACCTGTGAGAACAAAAGATGCAGAGAAGGTGAGAAACTGTTCTTCACAAACGTCTTAGTTTTTGTTATGTAATGCTTTTACAGTAACACCCTTTGTATACAGACAAGACTAAGAAGCATAATATAAAAAAAAAACAGATGAAAAAATGTTCTGTCAGTTATGTCATTAGTTTTACATTGATTTCTTAAATTTTAAGCCATTATTTCTTCTGTGAGAGCATAGAGTACTCTAATTCTGCTTGTTGGTTTTGTTCCCAGGATGTTTTCTTGGTGGTTCATTCAACAAAACACATTTAAGTGGAATTTGTAACATCCAAGCCTGAGGGTTCACTGCAGTTTGGCCTGTTTTTTTTTTCATCACTCCCTCTGGCCTTACTGAGCCTGACTAAAGCACAAAGACTGCTGACAAACTGGTGGACCCCAAGACTGCTTCAGCAGAACTGAGGTTACACTTATTTTTAAAGGTAAATTCAAACTTTAACTGACCCTGCAAACAAAACTCAAAGAACATTTCAGATTATCCGCACACAGCATACTAACAGTTTAAGTACTTTCAGTATTCTGAACATTTCATTCTTAAAATAATTTCAAGTGCATAGACATTAAGGGGTTTAAGGCTCACTTTTCCCCACTGAGGCATCAATGATCAACTAAAGCACTACTGGTCTTTTACTCATATTCGTTAAGTAGGTGTAGTCTGATGCTGATTTAATAGCTGATTAAGAAAACTAATGACATTAGCAACTAGAATAAATACTGATACACAATATATACAGTACTAAGACAGACACCAAGTAACAGAGCATGATCATACATTAACCACACAAGCCAGCCTTGTCAATTCTGATATTACAACAGCATTATATATAAACAGCTGTGATCATTTTAACACATACCACACGTTGCTGGTCTTGGTTTGGTCAGTAACTATGAGAGAGCCTCTGTATTCCTCCAACAGCTCTGGAGCGATCCAGCGAAGTGGGATCCATAGCTTGTCTGGAGTTAGGTAATAGTCCTCCTGCAAAAAACATAATCATTTGTGTACTGTAATAAATTTACAAAAACATTGTTTCAGACTTTCACCTAGACAAGAATGTAATGACAAAACACTATCTTTGTGGTTCATAAGCATACATCTGCGTACCTTATAATGACTATGTGAGAGGCCATAGTCGCCTATCCTAACAGTGAGGTCTGAGGTCAGCAGGCAGTTTCTTAAAGCCAGATCACTGCAGTGAAAACAAGACAACCTCCAAAACTTAGCCACACTCAGAAGAGATTCACACTCTATTTGTCTCTAATTGTCTGAGACACACAGTCTTGTGCTTTAATCCTGATAACACATGGAGGTGAAATCATGACTGACCTGTGGATGTAATTGTTTTCATGGAGATGCAGAAGGCCTGAGGTGATCTCAAAAGCCATTCTCTGAAGAGTCAACAAATCCTGGGTTGGCAGGTCTGGAGTCATCCCATCTGACTTGCGTTGGGCTCGCAGATATCGCTTCAGGTCACCCTTGTTGCATGACACAACAGCAATTCAAGAACTGAAATGTATGTGAACTTGGGTAGAAGATGAACTAAAGGCAGTTTGTGTGCCAAGTCGGTAAGTCAAGTGCCCTTCTCCTAAAACAGAGGTAAACCCTGCAGCAACACCATATAGGCAAAGAGGATATTTTGACCTCTGCAGTACATATGTCCCTTTTAGGTGTTTTCAATCAGTGAACCAAAAAAGCAGCAGGGGAACATCTACAATTATAATAATTTATCTGTTCTGCAGGAAATAATATGCAAAGGTACTCACATCAAATTACAGCAAATCAATAAGTAAAGAAACTAAAGGTTCAATAAAAAATATCTTACATTTTTGTGCAACTAAACCAGCATATCTGCCATTTAACAGCATTTGTTTGTAATAAAGACAATCTGGCAATTAGCACTTGATGATGATGAGTGTTTTTAAAGCAACATGACATTAAATAAAACTTCAAAGATGGCAAACAATTTGTGGATTGCATATGGTAGAACTGTGTTCAATTTAACCTCACACAGTTTGTGAAATGATGATGATACGGCCCTTTATGTTTCATTGTACTTTATCCCAACTTTTGATTTCTTACCAGCTGACAAAACTCCATAACCAGGAGGAATGGGATGCTCTCACTGCACTGTCCCAGACACTGAAGGATATTGGGATGTTTAAGACTCCTGAAGAAAGAAGGAAAACCCTGAGCTAGATTAAGAGACAGATTTAGATAGCTTAAGGGACAGTTAGGGTTAGTTGTCACGTCTGTCCTGACACATATAATTCAAATATATTGTTTGCTCCTTTTATCTGTGATTAAAATAAGACTATGTAATTTAAAAGGCATACGGTGGGTACGGAAAGTATTCAGACCCCCTTAAATTTTTCACTCTTTGTTATATTGCAGCCATATGCTAAAATCATTTAAGTTCATTTTTTTCCTCATTAATGTACACACAGCACCCCATATTGACAGAAAAACACAGAATGTTTGACATTTTTGCAGATTTATTAAAAAAGAAAAACTGAAATATCACATGGTCATAAGTATTCAGACCCTTTGCTGTGACACTCGTATATTTAACTTAGGTGCTGTCCATTTCTTCTGATCATCCCAGAGATGGTTCTACACCTTCATTTGAGTCCAGCTGTGTTTGATTATACTGATTGGACGTGATTAGGAAAAGCCACACACCTGTCTATATAAGACCCTACAGCTCACAGTGCATGTCAGAGCAAATGAGAATCATGAGGTCAAAGGAACTGCCTGAAGAGCTCAGAGACAGAATTGTGGCAAGGCACAGATCTGGCCAAGGTTACAAAAAAATTTCTGCTGCACTTAAGGTTCCTAAGAGCACAGTGGCCTCCATAATCCTTAAATGGAAGACGTTTAGGACGACCAGAACCCTTCCTAGAGCTGGCCATCCGGCCAAACTGAGCTATCGGGGGAGAAGAGCCTCGGTGAGAGAGGTACAGAAGAACCCAAAGATGACTGTGGCTGAGCTCCAGAGATGCAGTCGGGAGATGGGAGAAAGTTGTAGAAAGTCAAAGAAAGTCAACCATCACTGCAGCCCTCCACCAGTCGGGGCTTTATGGCAGAGTGGCCCGACAAAAGCCTCTACCTCAGTTCAAGACACATGAAAGTCCGCATGGAGTTTGCTAAAAAAAACACC